TCACCACCCCGTCCTTGTAGCGCTCCCTGGAGGGGCCCGTGGGCTCCATCGCTGAGTCCGTCTGCTGCTCTACCAGGACTGCTGGCCCATCTTCCTCCTCTTCTTCTTCCCCAGAGCCATTACCCCAGGAGGCTCCAGCCACATCCCTAGCAATCTTCTCACGCCAGCTGCTCAAGTCCACTGCTCGAAGAAGAAAAAAATAAAGGGGGTTTCCCTCACCCCCAGGTGGCCACTACGGATAATGCCCAGCTGATGTCACCAGCATTCCAAAATACCACGGCATGCCAGTATGCATGTTCCCCAATCCTCACTGAACCCCACTACGGATAATGCCCAGCTGATGTCACCAGCAGTGTGCACCACAGCAGACCAGAAACTCCCAGTTCTCACTGGACCCCACTACGGATAATGCCCAGCTGATGTCACCAGCATTCCGAAATACCACGGCATGCCAGTGTGCACCACAGCAGACGGAAATTCCCAGTCCTCACTGGACCCTACTCTCTCTGTCAAAGCATCTAACAAGACCTTGGAGGCTCCTGTCCACCTCCTGATGCTGTCCTTCCCACCAGTAGAGGTCGCTCCTTCTTCCACAACTTTCCCAAACATGTATAACAGAGAGATCCGGAGAAGTGAACCCTTGTTCCATGGGCCCCTTCCAAAGGCCACACACCTTTCCCCGCAGTGATGGCTTCGCAGGCTCTCAGCAACTGCTCCGGCCCCAGCGCCCGAGTCCATCCTCTCCCCCGTCTTCGATTCTTCTTTAAGACTGAGATAAGAGGGTGAAGATGCATCTCACCTCTTCTGCAACCCTTAACCCCAAAGCAGGTTCCTTTGCCAACCAGCTTCCCTGTTCACTGACCCGTGCCGCTCTCCTCACTCAGCCCCCTCCACTCCGCTCTCCTCACTCAGCCCCCTCCACTCCGCTCTCCTCACTCAGCCCCCTCCACTCTGCTCTCCTCACAGCCCCCTCCACTCCGCTCTCCTCACTCAGCCCCCTCCACCCCGCTCTCCTCACTCAGCCCCCACAGCCCCCTCTCCACGGACACCTCGGCTCACCACTGCCAGGTTCCTGTGGAGTTCTTGTGTCCCGAGGGAAGGAGGTGAACAGGACAATGTGGAGTTGGGGGTAGTGCTGGTGAAAATAATGCTTCCAGGCGACCACGAGAGCTGGCGGGGCCAGGTCCACCTTGTTCAGGACCAGCACCAGCGCCAGCCCCAGTTCTGCAGTTACGTACTCATACAGTGCTGGGGGGAAGTTCACGACCTGTCAGAGTGATGAGACATGAGCCCAGCTCCTGTCACCAGGCACAGCAAAAAACGCAAGGCCCTGCCTGATGTAGACAGAGTAATGGCAAAAACAGTAAACCAGCCACACCAAACAAGAAAGGCAAAGCAGGTGTTAGTGACAACCCAGGCAAGTCTCAGGGCGCTTCCTGCAGGTCATAAAGAGAGAGAGAGAAAGAGGGAGGGAGGGACGGGAAATATGACAACATCAACTGGATCAGAAACAGGAATGCGGACTGCATAAGAAGCAACACATGCTTCTCTGTGCACATAACTGTGTAAGTGCACACGTGCACAGCCACACGCACAAAAGCATGTGCATGTGTTTATGTATTTGTGTTAAGTGTGTATGACTGTAACACACGTGCATGTGACGGTTCATATGGATACACACATACACGCCTGTAACTGTACATATGTGTGCACTCATCGGGATCTCCGACCAAAAGGTCCCCACAGACCTCCCCTTCTGCACTGGAAACAACAGTGAGGTGGCCGTCAGGAAACCGGATTCACAGGGCTGTCCAGCGGAGGGCTGCAGCCTGCCCACTACCCTAGCACTGCAGGTGGAATCTGTGGCGATGGTGTGCTGAGGAAAGGAGAGGAGGGAGAAAGGCACCTTTGGGCTGAGCCTAAGAAGTCACCAGTTGCCTTCGAACTCCCTGGAGCTTTGTACTGGGACTTTCTACTGGTCTAGCGCTGGTAAACTAGGAAAATGGTGTGTGTGTGTAAGCTGGCCAGCAGGGGAATGACAGACTATGAGAGACGAATGTAAGCCGGGCAGTGGTGGTGCACGCCTTTAATCGCAGCACTCGGGAGGCAGAGACAGGTGGATCTCTGTGAGTTCGAGGCCAGCCTGGTCTACAAGAGCTAGTTCCAGGCTCCCGTAGCTACAGAGAAACCCTATCTCGAAAAACCAAAAAAAAAAAAAAAAAAGAGAGAGAGAGAGAGAGAGAGAGAGAGAGACGAATGTAACACTGAGTTCCTCAACCTGGGGGTGTAGCTCGGTGGTAAAGCTAAGGCCTAGCACGTGCAAGGCCCAGGGTTTCATCCTCAGCAGAGCAAAACAAAAGGGAAAAAGAAAGGCAGTTCTGACTGAAGACTTTAAAACAAGTCATAAAAATGAAATCAGAAAGGAAGAAAGCTACTGTAACCGCAGCATCGGGAAAGGAGACCAGGGGGATCCCCGGGGCTATCTGGTGAGCTCCAGGCCAGTAAGAGATCCCAGCCCACAAAACAAGGTGACACCACCGTCTCCATCTGAGGACCACAGCCAAGGCTGACTCCAGCTTCACAGTTCCCAGCACACGTGCTACAAGTGGATGGCAAGCCCTGGACACACACTCACCAGGAAAATGAAAAGCACCCCCACTAGGATCTTCCTCACAGAGGTTCCCAAGCACTCACCGGGTGTCGGATGTCAGTGATGAGCAGGACGATGTCAGACATCTCCAACACCCGCCACAGCTGCCTCCACGTCTGCAAACATTACAAGGGAATTTGGCCTAGAGTCCTTCTCTTGCCTGAGCCCAGAACGCTATCGAGGACCACACACAATATGTCAACCCTGTCCCCACACCACCGTCACCTCCAGATTGTGCTCAAAGTAGCTGAGTTTCTCCGAAGCGTAAGCGCCGTGTATCTTCCCAAGGTATTCCTGGAAGCTCCGCTCCTCTTGGCTCATCAGCTGCTCCTTGGACATCTCATAGTTCCATGGAGGACGGCGGGGAAAGTCCAGGACTGGGAAACGAGAGAAAGTACAGACAAACCTGAGGACTCTTTCTCTCCTCCTCCTCCTCCTCCTCCTCCTCCTCCTCCTCCTTCTTCTTCTCTCTCTCTCTCTCTCTCTCTCTGTTCTGTTTTGTTTTTCAAGACAGGGTTTCTGTGTATCCTTGGCTGTTCTGGAACTCACTCCATAGTCCAGGCTGGCCTCGAATTCAGAGATCTGCCTGCCTCTGCTGGGACTAAAGGCGTGTGCCACCACCACGCGGCTAGGTCTTTTTTCAAACTCAATGGTGCATCTTGGATCCCAGCTCTCCTCTCTCTCGGCCAGCGAGCTCCCCAAGCTGAGGGCACTCACTCACCTGAGCCCGGCTGATAGACTTCCCGGATATCCAGCTCCAGCATTTCAGCACTGACAGACTGCAACACTTGCTCTCTGGCTGCTCTCTTTCTCCTCTCCACCTCCTCACGGCTGTCCCGTTCAAAATGCAGCCGGTATCTGAGGGAAGAGGGACAACACGCATCTACTGGAGTCCTCTGACCACAATCTCTTCGCCTCCTTGCCAGAACAGACAACTTTGCAAAACCTCCTCCCCTGGCAGTTCAGGTCTCTCGGTAACACGCCCCCCCCCCCCCCCCCCCCCCCCGCATCTCCGAAAACAAACTCTTGACAGCCCCTCTTGGAAAGCACGACTGTGGCCCATCCCTGGGAAAACCACCGTGGCTTCCGGCCTCACTAAGCTCCACTTTCCAGCCTTCCTCAGAAGCTTTCCTCAAGGCTCAGGACGGGGAATCACGGGCCGGCGCCCTTCTCCTTCGCTCACCGGTTGGGATCGTAGCCTCTGGGCCCCAGCCCCTGGGAAGGTTGCTGGTTGAGCCTGCGGATGTGATGGGTCACGGATTCCCCATCCGAGGTGTCGGTCTGCTCCTCCCGCCGCTCCCGGCTCCCGCTGCGGCTGTTGGAACTGGAGCGAAGCCCATCTTGAAGCCCTGAGGGGAAGGACCGGTGACGCCAGTGTAGACCGGTTCTCAGGATACCCAAAGCCCCCGGAGCCGGTAGGACAAGCCCTTCTTCAGCCGCCCCAACTTCTCCAGAGGCTCCTCCATCCTCCCGACCGCGCGGCTCAGTTCCCTCCCGGATGGGCCTGTAAGTCGTCACCGCGCCCGGTGGCAGCGGCAGGGCTTCCCCTCCCCGGCCCCCGCACACACCCCCGCGCCGCTGCGGGAAACCCCCACCGTGGCAGCCCACGCGGGACCGCGAGAGCCCGCTCCCCCCCCCACCCCGCACGCCCGCGGTGCGGCGGCGGCGGCACACCCCTCCTCCCGAGCTGCACAGCGGCCCCGCCCCCTCCCTGACCTCGCTTCCGCTCCCGCTTGTCCTGCAGCTGCTTCTTCTTCTGCTTCACGCTGAAGGGCTTCTTCCTCGGCATGGCCCCGGCGTCCCCGGCCCGCCCTCCGCTGAGCTCCCCGCCGCCGCAACTGACTCCCCCGGGCAGCCCCCGCCGGCGGCCCGGGGCCCTGGGGAGGCGGGGCCGCGGTGACGTCAGCGGCGGGCGGGCGGCGGGGAGCGGGGCGGCCGGGCTGCTAGCGGCACGTGAGAGCCCGCGGCGGCGGCGGCGGCGGCTCCGGGATGCGCGGAGCGGCGTGCTGGAGGCGCGCGTGGGAGGCCCGGGCCGTCTCCGTCACGGGCGCTACCAAGTGGCAGTCGCAGGAGGGGGGACGAGTGTCATCCCCCGCCTGCCTGGAGCTCCCCCGGAGCTGCCACTCACCTGGCGGGGGGGGGGGGGTCGGGAGGGGGCGAGCCGGACACGCCTCCTGCCCGGCAGCCACCGGGATGGCCCCTAGCTGCCGAGCCGAAGCGAGGCGGCCGCGCCGGCTGCCCCGAGGGGCTCGCCGCCCGCGGCACACGGACTCGCGGCGGAGGATGCCGAGAGGCTGGCGGCCGACTGGCCACGCGTGCGAGCGCGGGTGGGCGAGGAGGAAACGCAAGCGGGGCAAGGACTTTGGAGAGGAGGTCAGAGAGCGCGGAGTTGTGACTGCAGCTGTTGCCATGGTAACCGGGGGACCGGATGTGGCGGCCTCAGGGTGCGACAGGCCGCTCGCTTGCCGCCGGAGGCCCGAAGTCCGGCCAGTGCCTCCCGGTAACGCGGCGGAGGTGCTTTTCCACGTGCGCGAGTGAGCAGGGGCTACACCGGGGAAGCAAAGCCTCCCGCTGCGCGGCAGACCGAGCGAGGCCCCAGGTTGGAGGATGCTGCCGCGGATCCACAACCCGCCGGAAGTGGCATGGCGAAAGCCTCGGTCTCCCGGCCCACCGCCCACCCGGAAGCGGAAACAAACCTAGTGTGCCCCTTCCTCACTGCCCTCCAAATCCTACTGCAGCCATTGCCGCAGCCACGATGCCTAAACGAAAGAAGCAGAATCAGCAGCAGCAGCCGCCGCAGCATCCCGCACTGTCCGACCGGGAAGAGCCCGGAGACGAAGAGGACGAGAGTCGCCTTGGTGAGGGGAAGGGCGTGCATACGCCTGTCAGCGGGCCGGGGGCTAGGCGAGGGTTGCAGTGCGGGGGAGGGGGCTCGAACGGAAGGAGGAAGGGCGCACGCGTGGAGGTGGGGCGGGGGCGGGCTAGGGGAGGGCTGCTGGTGGAACCTTAAATGAGGAGTTTGCTTGCTTGAACCCTCCACCTCAGTCTGGCTCCTGACCCTTTCCGGAGAAGGCAGGGGAGGCGGCGGCTAAAGATCTGGCTTGCGCAGCCGCAGGATGGCGGGGGAGAGGGGAGGCAGCGTTATTACAGATTGTGATGACCGGGAAGACAATTTGTGACCACACTTCCACTGGTTAGGTGAAAGTGCAGCCTTCTGTGAACTACTCCCCCGAGGGAAGGAGAGGAGAAAAAAACTATGATGGGCCAACAGTTAAGGTGAGGGATTGGGGTTTGTGGAATCACTGGGCATGTTGTGGATGCAGCTGTGATGGAATCTCCACTGTTTTGCTCAGTCTCGGACAACTCTGCAGAGGGACGGGCAGATGGACGGGGTGAGAGATTGCGGCACTGCTGAGTGGATATATCTGACTTTATTGGTTAAAAAAAAATGAGTGTTAAAGACCACGTAAGAACGAGATGATCAGTCCTTTGCACCATTCTGATGACTGTGTTTTCACGTCTGCTCTTAGGACCACCCAGCCTTCTGGGCCCTCCCCCCATGGCTAATGGAAAGCCTGGTGACCCCAAGTCAGGTGAGGAGGAACGGGTCCTGGTGCGTGTGTACCTCAATGAGTGATTGTGCATGTGTTTGGAAACATGGTGCTGTCAAAATGTCGGTTTCCTTCCAAATTAACTCCTAGGTCTGAGGCTTTCACAGCCTGTCTGTTCCGCTTGTGTAGGAATGAACCTCCGTTATAGGGAAACACAGACTCTACATGGAAGAGCATAGGAAGATTTGGTGTAAAGCTATAGTAACTATGACATCGTGGTTTTCATAGGATGATCGACATTCTTTGTAATTTGTAATACTTGAAAGACTGAGGCAGGAGGATCAGAAGCTCCTGGCCACCTCTCCTACATAGCAAATTAAGACCAACTAGCCTGGGATACATGAGACCCTATCTGAGATAATTGGGGGGCCTGTTAATAGATGAACATTTACGTATAAAGATGTAGCCAAAGAAGTGGTCCTGTCAGTAAAGTGGTGATGTCTCAGTTAGACATTTAGGGAAAACTAGGAACTTTGACGTTGTAGAAATACCAAATAAAAAAATCAAGTCTAAGGAAACTGTAAAATAAACAGGATTAAAATAAAAAAAAGTTTGTAAACAACACCCAGACCAGGCAGGCATAGTGGCAGCAAAGGGGCTAAGTCCCTGGGGAGGAGACGTACTGGGTAGGTGCCCAGTTGACAGAGTGCTTGCGTCACACAAACGAGACCTGATGTCAGACCGCAGCAGCCATGTCAGGAGCTGGGTACAGGGCTGTGGTGAGGAGGCAGAGGTGGGGGCTCCAGGGCTTGCCAGCTGTGAGTGAGGGCCAGGTTCAAGGAAACCCTACCAGGCTCTGGCCTCTATGCATACACACACTGTGCTAGTCATAAAGGAGCTGCATCACACAATATGAATTTCTGTTAATCAGATAACACTGTAAGCTAGCCCTGAGACCATATAACTACTGTGTAAACAGTATAGAGATTTATTACAAAACTAAAAATAAGGGGCTGGAGAGATGGTTCAGTGGTTAAGAGCACTGCCTACTCTCCCAAAGGTCCTGAGTTCAATTCCCAGCAACCACATGGTGGCTCACAACCGTCTGTAATGAGATCTGGTGTCCTCTTCTGGCCTGCAGGCATGCATATAGGTAGAACACTGTATACTTAATAAGTAATCTTTAAGGAAAAGAAAAGAAAGAAAACTAAAAATAAAACACGTGGTGGCGAATGTCTACAACTTTGGAGGGTGAGGCAGGAGGACTAGCCTGAGCTACAGACCCTGTGTAAGGAAGCAGAAGGACGGAACTGCCACACAAGCCAACAGTTCCATTTCGGGATGTATTTTTACAAGAATTGAAAGCGTGGTCTTTTGGGGTTGGGTTTTTTTGAGAGGGTTGCTATGTAGCCCAGGCTGCCAAAGCTAATAGTATGTATCTTTTCAATGGGATATTGTTTCATCTTACAAAGGAAGGAAATGTTGTTAGGGCCCAGCATGGGCGAACCTTGAGAACACGCCGGGCACGGAAAGATAAGTGCACGCACTGTCTAAAGTCAGATTCGTACAAACAGTGGAATGCGGGCTACTGGGGCTGCTGGGTATATAAGGAAAGGGCTTGTTCAGAGGAACCCGTTCTGGTTCTAGGATTCTGTGTCATGGCACGTGAACTTACTTAGAGTATTGAACCATATACTTAAAAAGTAGCTGATGTAACCCGGGTGTGGTGGTGCAAACCTTTAAACCTTTAGTCCCAACAGTTGGGAGTCAGGCAGGAATTCCAGGACAGCCAGAGCTACACAGAGAAACCGTGTCTCAGAGGGGGGAAAAAGGTCAGGATAGTGGCTACCTTCTGTGAGAGGAAAGGGCATATAGATGGATGTCTCTCTTTGAGGCTGGGGATTTAGCTCAGTAGTATAGTAATTGCCTAGCATACACAGGGTCCTGGGTTCAATTCCAGCATGGGGTTAAGAAGCACTAAGAAAACCAATTTCTTTGCCTGGGTGATAGAAGCCCAGGTAGAGCTGTGATAGTTGTGCACTTGAGGTGGTGTTGTGTCAGACTGCTTTGCCCCCGCGGATGGGGGAGGGGCTTTTGTCGGGGGTTAGCTGCTCTCCAATCACCCTCCTTGTCTTTCTCTCTGTAGCTCTTCACAGGGGTCCTCCAGGATCAAGGGGACCAATGATTCCACCACTGCTGAGTCTCCCACCTCCTCCACGGGGTAGAGGCCCTATTCGAGGAGGTCTTGGTCCTAGAGCTAGCCCATATGGTCGTGGTTGGTGGGGTGTCAATACTGAGCCTCCTTTTCCTGGGCCAGGCCATGGGGGTCCCTCTAGGGAAAGCTTTTACAAAGAGCCAAGAAATCCACGAAGGCTCAAAAGCTGGTCTCTTGTCAAGAACACCTGCCCACCTCCGGACATTCCCCCGGTGATGGAAGGTAAGGCCCACCTTGTTATGCCTGTGCCTTGTCCTGCATGCCAGCATGCTCTCTCCAGTCTCTTCTCCTTTGGGCTGTCTCTGAGAGCATTGAGAATTAATGCATGGCTTTTCCCGAGTTAAGAATTCCTCTGCCACTGAGCTGCCAGCTTCTTAGCTGGCAGATACTTGTAGCACTAAACATCTTTCTTCCCTCAAAAAGAATGCCTTTCCAAAATACTTGGTAGTCTGGGGGCTGGAGAGATGGCTCTGAGGTTAAGAGCACTGACTGCTCTTCCAGAGGTCCTGAGTTCAATTCCCAGCAACCTCATGATGGCTCACAACCATCTATAATGAGATCTGGTGCCCTCTTCTGGCCTGCAAGCATACATGGAAGGAATGTTGTATACATAATAAATAAATCTTAAAAAAAAAAAAATACTTGGTAGTCTGGGAGTGGTTGAGCAAGCTACATAGCGTCCCTGAGCTCCACGCTCTACGCCTAACACCAGAACCAGAAAGGAGTGTATGTGGCAGAGAACTGGGCTTTCTGCATCCTATTTCGTTTTCTTCCTTACGATTTTTGGGGGGTTAGGGGAGGAAGTTGTTTTTATTTTTTGGGGTAGTGGACAGGTTGACCTCAAACTTGTAGCAGTCTTCCTGTCTCAGCCTCCTGAATGCTGGGGTACTCGCTCAGGTGTTAAGCTGTTGTTTTCCCTTGTTCACAGACAAATCTGACCGCCCTGTCTGCCGACACTTTTCTAAAAAGGGCCACTGTCGATATGAAGACCATTGTGCCTTCTACCATCCAGGCGTCAATGGCCCTCCTCTGTGAGACTGTGCCTTCCCACACAGGCTGACCTTGTGGCCCCATCATAGCTACTTGAAGGTTCTCCTATCACCTTCAGTCAGCGACATGTCCACCCCATTCATCACCTCCCCCGTTTGGGGTCCAGAGTTTGGTTGTCACTGGTGTGCGGTGTGCACTGTCTTCTGATCCAGGCTCCAGACCTTTGGGACCCCGTCTTGCTCCCTTCCACTGCCTCCTGGATCTTCCCCTCTGTCAAGTGACTGCTGAACAGGAAACCTTTGGTGCTGTTTCTTGTGCATCTGTTGGCCTGTCCCCCAGTATTGCCCTCGGTTCCCAAGGACCCTGGAGCAGCCTGCAGTCCTTTGATGGGAAGCCCCAGTGTTTGCAGCTGCCCAGGAAGCGCACCAGGTTGTCTGGCCTTGGGGTCAGGTTTGAGTGACTGGTCCAGGCTTGCTCCCCGAACAGTCTACCCCTGCTTTTGGACGTCCTAGCTTCTTGTTGGTAGCATGAGCCCCACCGCTAAGGCCTGTGGTCACTGTGCTTTGTGAAACTGTGCATCCCTTGTCGCCTTCCTCAGTGTCTGTGGCATTTTTGTGCTTTCCCCACACTAGATAAATTTTTCTGCCAAATGGAGCGAGGCTCTTGGTGCCCTCCAGATTCCACCTACCTCCCAGCGTGGGAGAACGTGAGACTTTTCCTGTCGTGCCCTCTCCCCTGGTGTCAGTTATTCTGGGTCTGACACAGCCAGGGATGTCCTGCCTCCCCACCCAGCTCCTGCCTGTCTCATTTTAGTTGGGCCCTATCATTGTGGGACCACCAGCCCTTTCATTTGAACTCTGTGACTCTCCCCCTGGACAGTGGGTACTGTCCCCTCTGACCCTCCTCTCTGACGTCCCTGACACTGGTTGTTTTCTGTGAAAACGGCAGTGAACATGCTGGGTTTTGAGCTGGCCCTGAGGAGGTGGGCAGGAGGTGGAGAGTTACTGGAGAACTAAGAGTGACTTTTTCTTCTTTTTAATGTTTTTTTATATTAGTAATAAACACAGTGGAAACCGGTATTTTTTCCTTTGTTTCTGTGTTCCGGTCACCAGGGTCCCCTCACCCCATCAGTTCATCAGAGGCAGCAGAGTAGTTCACTCTGGACACAGGTGGAGCAGGAATGGCCAAGGAGAGTGCAGAGTGACCTTAGACACGCAGCGTAGCATTTGGATCTGAGGACTTCCTGCTTCACTGTGGAGAGATTGGACACGCCTGTCCACTCAGGTCAGGGATCAGACTTGGAGATTTAAAAAACAAGAATTTAAAATTTACTTTATGTGTATTTTGCCTGTGTGATTATGTGCCTGGCGCCCCTGGAAGTCAGAAGAAGGCATCAGATCCCCTGGGACTGGGGTTACAGACAGTTGTGAGCCGCCATGTGGGTGCTGGGAATTGAACCAGGGTCCTCTACAAGAGCAACAAGTGCTCTTAAACACTGAGCAATGTCTCCAGCCCCCAGAAATGGATATTTGAGTTAGTAAAATGGTAGCACAGGCCTGAATAGTGGAGTTGGAGGAACTTCAGTGTGTGGAGCAATCAAATCCAAAGCATTTGGGGCTGGAGGCACGGCTCTGCCATTTGCTCTTGAGAACCTGAGCTCGGCGCTCCCAGTAACTCCAGTTCCACGGGATTTGGTACCCTCTTCTGGCCTGAGAACACCAGGCATGCACTCAGTGCCCACATGCAAGCCAAACAAATAAAAGCATTTTTTTTAGACTGTCAAAGATTGAACTTGGAAGTACATCTCTACCCCAGCAGCAGAGGCGAACCAGGGAGGGAGGAGGACCACTCCACTAATAAAAATGTCTCTGGAGAAATGGGAGAAAAGTAACCCAACAATGTCACTAGGACAAAGCCAGCATTGGCTTCTTCTGATCTGTTGGTATTAGATTAGAAAGTTGATGGGGACAGAAGCATCATGGGGGTCTGGCCCAGTTGGTCGAGTGTTTGAATAGTATGCATGAAACCTTAGGTGCAATTCTTAGAACATATAAGTTGGGGCTGGAGAGATGGCTCAGCAGTTAAGAGCACCAGCTGTTCTTCCAGAGGATCTGGGTTCAAGTCTCAACGCCTACATGGCAACTCATCCCTGTCTGTTACTCCACTTCCAGGAGATCAGACGTACATGCAAGCAAAACACCCCAATGTACATAAAAAAAGAATAAGACATTTTTAAAAGTTTTTTTTTTTTAAAAAAATAACAGGTGTGTGATCTCAATACTCAGGAGGGAGGTGGAGACACAAAAATGGGGCAATTCAAGGTCCTCTTTGGCCACTTAATGGCCTTGAGGCATGCCGAAGGATGGGCGCTGGCCCTGTGGTAGAGATGCCTCCCTCGAGCTCCTATGCCTGCCATTCTTAGAGTTAGAAGCCCAGCTAAGTCCCGATTGTGGTTTAAAAGGCATATGCTTCTTGGGAGGCAGAGGCAGGCGGATCTCTGAATTTTAGGCCAGCCTGATCTAAAAGGGAGAGTTCTAGGACTTACACAGAGAAGCCCTGTCTAAAATAAAAATTAATAAATACAAGAAGATTAGAAAGTAGTGGGGAATGATTGAGGAGGTGTTCTGTTTTAGTAAAGAGGCCACTCACGCGTAATAGTGCCGACCTGTTGTAATCCCAGCTCTCCCAGAGGCCGAAGCAGGCGGAGCTCTGGGAGCTCCAGGCCAGCCAGGTCTACTTTGTGAGTTTAGGAAAGCCAAGCACTACATAGTGAGCCCTTGTCTCAACGACAACCAAAAGGTGTGCTTCCTGAGCAGGATGTGGCGACACAGGCCACCAACTCAGCGCTCCAGAGCCAAAAGCAGACGGACCTCTGGGTTGGAAGCCATCCTGGTCTACACAGCGAGTTCCAAACCAGCTAGGGTGACACAGTGAGATCAGAGATGCTTCAGACTCTTCTCCCTACCCAGAAATTATGTCGTTCCTCGGGTGTCACAGCGTCACCATCAGCAGCTCAGGCGTGGGGACCGTCACAGGGCGCTGCCCACCCCAGGCCACACCCCCCAGCCCAGGGCGTGGGCGCGCCACGGCCGCCGGGGGCGGGGCGGTGACTAATGGAGAGCCCGCCCACTGGCGGCCCCACGCCGCCGGAAGCGGAAACGGCGCCGGACGCCTGCAGAGGACTCGCAACTGCCACCGCGATGCCGAAGGGTCCCAAGCAGCAGCCGCCCGAGCCCGAATGGATCGGGGACGGCGAGGGCACGAGCCCCGCGGGTGAGCGGGGAGGAGGCGGGAACGGCCAGGGCGACGGCGGCCGGCGTGGGGCGTGGGTCCTGCGCATGTGCGCCGGGGGCAGAGGCCGCGCGCACGGGGCCGTCCCAGAGCCCCGGGAGGCCGACGGGAGGCGAGCCGGAGCATATGGCACCGAGGGAGGGACGAGAGGACAGGAGCCGGGACTCGGTCGGACGGGACTGCCCGAGTGTTAGCCTTGAGTTCGGATAGGGTCTATGGTCAGGGATTACTTTAGTACTTGTGCGATGTGCTGTGTGTGTGGAATGAAGGGAACAAGAAGGGGCTTGAAGTCACTTTGGGGAGATCACAGACACGAAAGACTACAGTAATTTCACATTTGGTTTGTTTTAGTTAAAACAAACTTTTTTAAAAAAAAGACAGTAGTCTCTCTACATAGCCCGAACTGTCCTGGAACTCACTCTGTAGACCGCGCGCTGTTCTCTAGAATCCCCCTGCCTCCGCCTCCCAAGTGCTGGGATTAAAGGCGTGCGGCCACCACACCTCGGCTTAATTCTGTCTTATGTAGCCAAATCTGTCGTGAATCTCTTATGATCGGTTTATTACGGTAGCAGTGAAAAACGGAGAATGGCCTTGGTCAAGATAGACTCGGGAACACCTTTTGCCATGTTCTGGCAGTGACTTCTGTAAGAAGGGGCAAGGAATTAGTTCAGTGAAGACTGGAGTGCCGTGTACCTGGAGGCTCACTAGACAGAGGTGGACTGAGAGCGCCGCTCTTAATCCAGATGCCTTAGAGGAGTAGGTAGCAGAATGTTGGTTGATAGTAGTACTTGGAAAAAATATTTCTAATTTAAAGGGTTTTTGTGTGTGTGTGTGTTTTGTTTTTTAAGCCAGGATCTTACTTTGTAGCCTGACTTGTCTAGAACTCAACTATATAGACCAGACTGGTTGGAGCTCACAGAGATCCATGTGCCTCTGCCTCTTGAATGCTGGTGAAAATTACTTTACGTGTATGGGTATTTTGCCTTTATACTGCATGCATGCAGTGCCTGCAGAAGTAAGAAGAGGGTTCTCTGGAACTGGAGTTAAGAGAGTTGTTAGGTGGGAATTGGATTCAGGTCCTCTGGAAGAGCAGCCAGTGCTCTTAGCTGTTGAGCCATCTCTTCAGACCTGAAAATATAATTGTTTTTAAATTTGCTTGTTGGGTTGTTTGCTTGAGACAGGGTTTCTCTGTGTATCCCTGGCTATCCTGGAATTTACTCTGTAGAGCATGCTGGTCATGAACTCACAGAGATCCCCCTGCCTCTGTTTCCCATATGCTGGCATTAGAGGTGTGTGCCACTGCCACCCATTGAAAATAAAGTTTTTAATGAGGAAGAAGGTGAGAGAGTGGTATTGGACTGTAGGATGGAAAGCACGCAGAAAGGGTGTTGGTGTCTTGTTAGCTGTGTATGAACAGTTGGCCTGCGTGAACGTAAGCGTACCATGTGCCGTGCCTTGTCAGAAGAGGGCGTCTGACCCCCCCGAAACTGGAGTTAGAGACAGTTGAGAGCCACCGTCTGGGTGCTGGCCTTCAAACCTGGTCTCTGAAAGAGCAGCCAGTGCTGTAGACGACCAAGCCAGCAGTCCAGTGCCTGTGGCACCCAGGAACTCAGTGAGCCTCTCCTTCCACCTGGATGTGGGTTCTGGGGCTCGAGCGAGGCTCTCTGAACTTGTGCAGCAAATGCCTGTGCTTTCTGAGCCACCTGGCCAGCCCAGTGTATTTTGAAGGCTGGGTTAGAGGTTTCTCAGACATGACAAAGAGACGTGTCTAGTGAGAGAAAAGTTGAAGTAAGAACGTAGACGAAGCAGTCCTGGAGAATTGGGGTTCCTAAAGAGCCTCACCAGGAAGGAGTCTGACAGGCTGGCTCTAAGAACAGCTAGAGGAACAAATGGGGGGGGGGAGTATCTATGAAATACTACCCAACAGGCATGGGGGCGTTCACCTTTAATCCCAGCATTTGGAAGGCAGAGGCAGGTGGATCTCTGAACGAGACCAGCCTGGTCTGTATAGTGAGTTCCAGGACAGCCAGGGCTACACAGAGAAACCCTACAGAAAAGAAAAAGATGTGCTATCCAGATCAGATTTCTAGATCTCTGAGTGTTTAAGATTTGCATGTATGTAATAAACTGTCTCAGGGATGGGATGCAAGTCTAAACATAAAATTCACTTTTGCTTCTTATACATCTTATAAACACAGCTTAAGGGCTTTAATGTAGCCCAGGCCAGGGATGGCCTTAACCTTGCGTTGTTCCAGCCTGGCCTTGCAGTGTTGTCATCACAGACTGGACTGGAGAGTGGCCTTGAACTACTCAGGATGGTCTCAGTCTCAGCTGTTGTTTGAGACAAGGTTTTGCTGAGCTGCCCAGGCAGGGCTCAAACTCAGTTCTCTTTCCTTGGCCTGTTAGCTGGATTACAAATATAGGCCAGGAATGTTAATATTCAAGTGTTTTTTTTCCTGCTTTGTAACTCAGGAAAGTTTAAGGAAAGCTATAATATGGGGGTAGGAAGAGGAGAGGTGCAATGGAGCTCTGGTCCCGCAGACCTCTGCGATGACCTGTGCACGGGCTTTTCTCACTCCAGCTAAGATGTCAGGCATGGTGGCTCACACTTTTAATTCTAGTACTCGGGAAGCAGAGGCAAATGAATCTCTGATTTTGAAGCCAGCAGGATCTACAGAGTGAACTCCAGGACAGCCAGGGGTACACAGAGAAACCGTGGGGGTGGGGAGGCGCAGGGCAGACCTGGTGGCTCAGGTCTGTAATTCCAAATATGTGGGAGGCCAAA